TGGCCTCTGTGCTGCCCACCACCGGGCGCATTCCTGCCTCCTAAGGGTGAGGCTGAGTGGGGGCTCCTGGCTGAGCTCCTGCCTTCCCGAGTGTGAGCACCTGCTCCTGCTGGCCTTAGGATGCTACCCATTACCAGCTTCTGTTTTTTTTGTTTGTTTGTTTTTTGTTTTTGTTTTTGTTTTTTTGAGATGGAGTGTCACTCCGTAGCCAGGCTGAAGTGCAGTGGTGCGATCTCAGCTCGCTGCAATCTCCGCCTCCAGGGTTCAAGCCATTCTCCAGCTTCAGCCTCCAGAGTAGCTGGGATTACAGGCGCCACCACCACGCCCAGCTAATTTTTCCTATTTTTAGTAAAGACAGGGTTTCACCGTGTTAGCCAGGATGGTCTGGAGCTCCTGACCTCAGATGATCCACCCCCCTCGGCCTCCCAAAGTGCTGGGATTACAGGGAATCCGCTTCTATTCTATGTTAGCTAAGGGTTTCCCTACGAGTTGCCGGGGCCACAGGTGAGCACACCCCCACCCCCCGGCTATGGCCACAGGTGAGCACCCCCCACCCCCCGGCTGTATTTTTTATTATGTTTTTTAGAGACAGGGTCTCACTATGCAGCTTGGACTGGTCTCGAACTCCCGGCCTCCAGTGATCCTCCCGCCTTGGCCTCCCCGAGTGCCGAGTGTCTCTACGCACCTCTGGATTCGGTATTCGTGCTTCCCACTGTGTGGGGCGCGGGGGCAGCTGGGTTTGCCCAGGGCAGCGTGGTCCCTCCCGGCGTGTCCAGCCCGGATCCCGGAGCCTCCGGCAGGGGCGGCCGCTTAGCGCCTGGCTGCGGATCCGCAGCGCCTTTCGGGCCGGGGCGGGGGTGAGGCGTCGTGCGGGGGGGAGGTCTCAGCCAACGGGCGCTGGGGAGGGGGCGCGGGGTGGGGGGCGCCCACAGGGGAGGGGTCGCCTGTCCCCGGACCGTCGCCTGGGCCGGGGCGCGGGGGTGGGGGGGGCCGCGGGGACGGGAGCGGAGAGGGTGCGTCGCGCGCTCTCAGAGGCACAGATGCGTCCGGCGAGAGGGGCTCCCACGGCGAGTTCGGGGGCGGGTCAGGCGGTCCCCAAGGGCGGAAGGGAGGGCGCGGCTCCGGGCGGCGGGGGTCGGGCCGGGGGGCCACGCTCGGATATGGCTCCGGGAGGGCGCGAACCCCCCTCCCCTCCAGCCCGCCAGGCCCTGCCAGGTCCCCCACGCCATCGCCCTGGCGTGGACCGCGGGGCACAGACACCCCGCGATGGCGCCGCCTCCTGCCCCTTGCCGGCCACGGTACCAAGGCCGCGGCCCGCCCCGACCTCCCCACCCAACCCCGGGAGGCAGCTGCCTGCTTCAGACCCAGGCCCCTCCCCGGCTACCCCGGCAGGGGTCTGGCAGTGGGAGGGTTTGACTCTGACCCTGGCCAGGCAGAGCCCAGGCCTCAAGTCCCGTGGGGGCCTCCAGCTCCAGGCTGCTCTCAGAGTCTGTCCAGGTCGGAAGAAGAGGAAAGGTCAAGGCTGAGGTCCCACCTGAGGCCTCAGGAAGGGAAGGGCTGAGCTCTCATCTGCTTTTGAGAAAGTCCCCAGCGATCAGATAACCGATAAATGTGGCACTGAAGGGAGGTGTCGGGATGGGGGTCTCCTTCGAGGGACAAGGGTCTCCTTCCTGGAAGGGCATCTCCCAGAGGGGCTTTTTGGCTGAAGCTGAGCTGTGCCTGGCACACAGCCGGCGGAGACGAAGGGAGGGCCAGCAGGTGCAGCTCCCAGTGGAATCAAAGCTTCTTCCTAACAAGACCTGGCACCTGACAACTTTGAGTTGGAAAATAAGCTTGTAGGGGAGGGAGGTGACGCCTGTTTCCTGCCTGGCCTGAAGCACTGAAAGTTACTCAAAAAGTTAACTTTCTTCTCTTGAGTATTGTTAACAGCATTAACGGATGCACCTCTTCCTCCACAAGACACTTTCACAAGCGTACAATGAAATTAATGTCAGGAAATTAACGTGATGGACTAGGCGTTTTCAGTTTTACGTTCTTAATCTTGAAGCCCAGATGCTGTGGTAGCTAAGTGTAAGATTACAGTTCTTTTCAAACTGGCTTTTGCATTATTTCCACATTTTTGAATATGTTTTATGGCCACGGCCCTTCCCAATATATGAAGGGGGTGTCCCAGGACCACAGGGGGTCCACGCCATGGTGGAACCATCCAGAATGCGGTTCGTGCTTGCCTGAGGCAGGAGGGGTCAGGCAGTTAGTTCCTCACCATCCGCAGGACACTTCCGGAGACCCCCCGTCACACACACACAAGCCTCTGGGTCTGTTAGGCCATGAGGATATGCAGGTTGTGCACTGCACTATTCCAAAGGGCACAGTTCATACAGTCCACCTGGTAATGATGGTGGCGCTACGGTGGTGGGTGCCACAGCCCTGCCTAAAACCACCACCCAGTTGGAGGGGTGCGTGACACCAGTCTGCAGGTAGCGGAGTGCAAGTGCACGCCCCTCATAATCCCCCAGACTGACTTCTGCTATGAGGCTGGCGTCCTCACGGCCATGCCCATCACAGCCTGGGGCAGCACCATCTGCCCAGAGGCCTCCAGCACCCTTGGAGTGTAGACACATTTCATCCCCCACATGCGGCACAGCAGCCACACTCCTCAGCTGCGCAGGGACGCTCGGACAGCGGGGTGCTCAGGGGCTCATTGCCTTTCTACTCCCCATCTGGCAGCCCTTCCGGCTGTGGCGGCAGCAGGGGCGGGGGCAGCACACTACCTGATGGTCAGCGCCTGGCACTCATGCCTCTTCTGGATTCATACATCCAGGCAGTGACACTGCTCTCTGCCTTTTAAACAGCTTTGTGGAGAAAGGTTGTGGGCCCTTAGGACAGGCTGGTTGGGGGAGGGGGTGTGGCCGGAGGGTCACCGAGCATGGGGGCACACACCAGTCCAGTGGGAATTGGCCTTCCTCTGCAAAGCAAGGGCAGCATCTTCAGAGAGGACGTCCTTCCTAAAGGCTCCACTCAGGACCCATAAGAAAAGAGCAGGGAAGCTCCAGGCTGGAGGGAATCCTGCTCTTGTCCTGGTGGCTTTTTCTTTGGGACAAGAGGCTGAGAGTAGAGTGGGGGAAAGAGGCAGATGGAGCAGGGACACAGGCCAAGAGCGACTCCAACGCCCCCGCCTAGCAAGGCCATTCTAGTGGCCAGTCACTTCCACTCCCCTATGCCTTGTCCAGAGCCTGTGGCGGACCAGCCCAGGGCCGTCCTCCTTTCCCGCCACTCAGCGGCCAAGTCACCGGGCAAGCACCTTCCCTGTGCTACACAGGCCACTTCCATCAACATGAAACTGCATGTCCCCACCCCCACCCCACAGGATAAAGTCATCCAACTCAGCGTTGTCCTACTCCGGCCCCTGCTGCCCCCCAATAGATTCTCAGACATCAGAAGACATGTCCGTCTGCACCCACCAACTGCCCACCTGCCCTCTGTCCGCCCGTCCATCCGTCCACCCGTCCATCCGTCCATCCGTCCATCCACCTGTCATCCAACTGCGCAGCCAGCCACCATCTTTCGAGTGCTACTCTGTGCCCAGCTCTCTTCCAAGCTCAAGGGACGCATACATGAACCCCTCGCCCTGACCTCCCCACCCAACCCTGGTAGGGCAGACATTTCCAGGGTGAGGGCAGACAGCTCACGGTCAAAGCTAGCAGGCACCAGGGCCGGGAGGTGAGCTGAGCCCCGGAGCCAGCCAAGTAAGCAGGGGTGGCGGGAGCTGGGCTGCCACAGCTGTGAGCTGAGTGGGTAGGGGTGGAGCAAGAAGGTGCCACTGGAGCCCAGCCCCTGGGGAGCCGAGGAAGGGGGCACACAGAGCCATCCAAGTGGTGGGATCAGTGCATGCAAAGGATATGGGCTGTGGCGGGCACGGGGATGGAGGTCAGGCAGCGGCTTGGGTTGGAGCTCCTGGGAGAAGTTGAGCCTTTCCTCCGACGGGGAGGGTCCCAATAGCGGGGGCTGAAGGGGCAGGCGAAGGGCCAGGCACGAGGCTTTGCAAGAAGCCAAGCCGCTGGTTTTGTGCCCATCCTGAAGGTGGAGCAGACAGATATGCTAAGAACTCGGAAAGCCGGTGAGGGGAAGCAGAAGTCCACGTGCCTCCCAGGTCTGTCACTGGAAGGCTGCAGGGTGGGCTTGGAGGAAAAGAGAGGTGTGGTTTGTGTCCTGGACCCTGAGATGCCCAAGGGCGCCAGTGCTGCCAGAGGGGGCTGTGGGCAGAGGCCCCGCATCCCTGTGAGGCCTGGGGATGTCGGGGTGTTTCGGTTGGAGGTCAGAAGGCAGGAGCGGGGCGGGGAGGCCACCAGGGCCCCTGAGTTCCCACCTCAGAGGCTGGGGTGGGGATGCTCCGGCGAGGGGAGGGGCAGAGAGACTTCCCAGCGCACCACGCAAGGCCTGGGCGGCCCCGGTTTCTGGTAAGTGACCGGTCAGGCTGTGGAATGCAGGCTGCTGCTGAAGACGCCGGAGTCCTGCGGCCCGGGGCCCCTGCGCACCCTTGGGCCGCCCCGTGGGGTCTGCGCAACCCCAGGCGCCGCGTGTATGAACGAGGGTAGGGGCGAGCGCGCTCGCAGCTGTCCCGGTACCTCAGGAGCTGCGCGGACGCCGAAAGGCGCGGGGAACTGCCGGTCCCGCCGCCCCCCGCAGTCCTCCACTCGCCGCCCTCCCCCAGGGAGGCGGCCGCGCAGTCCCGGGCTAGCCCTCGCCGCGACCTCGCGGACCTCCAGGCTCTGGGGGAGGGTGGGGACCCGGGAGCGCCGGGCGGCGGCGGCGCGGCGGGCCGGGTGGGCGTGCGCGGGCGGGGCGGGCGTGCAGGGAGTGGCGGCGATGTCTGCGCTCGCGAGTGCGCGGCGGGGGCGGGCAGGCCCCGCCCCGAGGCGGGAGGGGGCCGTGGGATTAAAGGCCACCCGGGTGGGCGGGGATCCGACTGTCGCCGGCACCGGCACCGGAGCGCGCCGGGGTCCTCGCTGAGTTGCGCGTCCCGCGGCCCCAGCCCCGCGCGTCGGCCGAGCCCAGCGGGACCCCTCGCGACCTGCGCGTCCTGGCCCCGCGCTGAGCCGGCGGCGATGTGGGGACCCCGGGCGCGGGGCCCCGGCCGGGGGCTGCTGCTGGCGCTGGTGCTGGGCGGGCTGTTGCGGACCGGGGGCGTCGAGGTGGAGCCCGGGGGCGCGCACGGCGAGAGCGAAGGCTTCCAGGTGGTCACCTTCGAGTGGGCGCACGTCCAGGACCCCTACGTCATCGCGCTCTGGATCCTCGTGGCCAGCCTGGCTAAGATCGGTAAGTGGTTCGCAGGGTCTCCGGCCGGTCACTGCCTGCGCCCGCGGGGTCTCGGGACCACCGACCTGGGTGCAGCCGTCACCCCTGCCCCTGCCCCCGCCTCTGCCGGGTCTAGGGTCTTCGCTGTGGCTGCCCCGGAAAGTCCGGCTCTTGGGTCCAGCAGAGCGGGACTCGGGCGCGACTCTGGACGCGCTAAGCGGCCCTGAGGGTCGCCGAGGGTCGCCCCACCCCAGCGGGGGCACAGCCTCGGAGTCCCGGCTCCCGGTCCCTGTGGCGTCTCCTCCGGCCTCCGCTCCTGCAGGCTGCTCGCGCCAGAGAGTCCCGGGGGCCAGGTTTCCTTCGGGGTTCTCGGGCTTTTTAAAGACGCGTCCTCGCCGGCAGGCATTGGAGTGATGATGATTTTTCGTTCGTTGCAAGGACAAAAAAGAAAAGCAGCGCCACCCGCATGAAACCCAGTAGAATCCTCGTTAGAGGCGCAGCGTTCCCATTGGCGGTCTTCCTTTTTTAGAAAATCCCGGTCGGTCAGATTTCTCTTCTCCTTAACTGGCTCCAGTGAACCAGTACTGTGGGCCGGGCAGGTGGCTCCTGGCAAGGTGACAGGAAGGTCAGCTTCCCGAGGACTCGTGGGGATCAAAGTTTCATGTGTTGGTCCACAGGGCAGGGTATCTCCAGGAGTGGCGGGGAGGTGGTCACTCGTGGGGAGGGGCGATTAGGGGACCCAAGTTGGGCCAAGAGAAACAGCGGGTGCCAGGCAGGTTTCCAGAGCGGTTTTGGACTGGGGCAGCAGATTTGGATGCTGGGGCCTAGGTGGGGCACGCGCGGAGGACAGGGAAGGGACAGGCTTTGGGGAGAGCCGCTGAGAGGACCTTGGACTTGCTGGAACCTGGTACGCCCGGCAGGCTTGATTGCTGAAGGTGCCTTTTTCTTCGGTGCCGCCTGCCCTATTTAGGCCAGGGTCCCCCCTCCCCTTCAGGTCCCTTGCGTGTTTACTTTCTGTCTCATGAATGCTCTTCTGAGCCCTCCCGCCAGCCCCAGGCTGCCTGCTTGCCCGGCTCACTCTGTCCCTGCTGCCCCAGGCTGCCTGCTTGCCCGGCTCACTCTGTCCCCTGCTGCCCCAGGCTGCCTGCTTGCCCGGCTCACTCTGTCCCTGCTGCCCCAGGCTGCCTGCTCGCCTGGCTCACTCTGTACCCTCTGGGCTCCACTGCGGGCTTGGGATGCTGGCAGTAGGGAGGCCCTGATGTGGCTGCTTCCTACGGGTCATTTCCTTGAGAAGGGCCCCTGGGTGGGGCATCAGGGAGGTCCAACCTCAATCTGGGTCTCTGAGGATGCCCGGTCCTAAAGCTCACCCCGCTTTCCTCTGACGGGAGCGCCCCCCTGGTGTAAAGTGAATGTGAGATTTCTTTTCTTTCCTTTTTTCTTTCTTTTTTTTTTTTTTAAAGACAGAGTTTTGCTCTCCCTCTCTTGTCGCCCAGGCTGGAGTGCAATGGCGCGATCTCGGCTCACCGCAACCTCCACCTCCCTTGTTCCAGCGATTCTCCTGTCTCAGCCTCCCGACTAGCTGGAATTACAAGCATCTACCACCACACCCAGCTAATTTTGTATTTTTAGTAGAGACAGTGTTTCTCCATGTTGGTCTGGGTGGTCTTGAACTCCTGACCCTCAGGTGACCCGCCCGCCTCTGCCTCCCAAATTGCTGGGATTACAGGTGTGAGCCACTGTAGTTTCTGTGCAAGCTGGGGCCTCTCCCAGTTCTGCCCGGTGTTTGGAGTCAGAGCTGCCAGGCACCAGCCAGCCCCAGTTGGAGGCCACCGGGAGGGCACACTGACCGAGGCTTTGCCTGGCCTCAGAGTTTGCTCTTCCTTCCCAAACACTTGGACTGATTCTGGGAAGACGTCCTTGAGGGCAGGGAGGCCGCCGCCAGCAGCAACTCCCGGGGGCAGGGCGGGCCCAGAATGCCTCTTCTGCTGGGAGCTGGCCCTTTAAAGGAAGGCCCGCTCTGATAGCACAGGAGGCTGTTTCGGTCTGGCGAGAGCCTAGCCTTGTGCAGCAGTGGGAGTCCATCACCGCATCCCAGGGTGCAGACTCGCTCCAGATCCGCCCTCCACGTTCACAGTCACCCCCCCGACCCACTCTCCACTCTGCAGACCCGGCAGTGACAGCCGAGGTCTGCCCTGGGTCTGCCCTGATTGGCCCCCAGGGTGTCCCACCCCCCACTCCCTCTCTGCCATCCACAGGTCTTGAACGCAGCCCCCAGCCCTCCCCTTGAGCTTCCTCCCCCAACCCCTCCCCTGGAACTCTGGACTTCGCAGATCCCGCTGTCCCAGGCTGTCCTTGTGCAGCCTGCCTCAGGTGCATGACCTGTCCCCCAGAGGACCCTCACATCCAGGCCTTCACAGGCACCAGGGCCTGCGCCCGCACCACAGTGGGAAGCACTCCAATTTCGGCCCCAGCCTCCTCCACAGCCCGCAGCCCCCGACCGGGGTCCATACTCACTAACTACTTGGTGCGTTTAGTTGTTTAAATGCTCAGGGGTTGGCCAGATTCTTACAGTCTCAAGTTACACAAACAGAAATGTATCTTCCAACAGGAAAGGGCTGCAGTCCTCCTGGTCTTCCAAACATTTGTTGAATTTCTCACAAGTCCTGAGTGTTTCTAACTCACAGCCCCAGGCTTCTTCGAGCCATTTGTAGCCTGATTGGGGAAATAAGACTCTGGGGACCCTGAAACCCACATCAGTGTTGATCCTAAGAGGTTTCTACTCCAGGCAGCTTGGGACAGGGCACGGCCAGAGCTGCCCCAAGCAAATGCTCTGGCTGGGGCCTCAGCAGGTGTCCCAGGAGCCCCAGAAAGGAGCAGGCTCTGCTGTCGGCCCACCAGCCTTGGGCCGTGTGTCTGGGCTCCAGCAAGGGTCCCCCACAAGTCCCCTGTTTGTGTGCACTGGGACCTCTGGGGGTTTCTCTGACTATTAGAGCTTCTTTTTAAAATGCAGAAGGGGAGGCAGGAACTGAGGCCAGGGAGCCAGTCCACAGCACAGACCTCGTGGGCTGAGAGGGTGAGGTAGTCTCCAGCAGTGGAGGTGGCAGGGCCTGGTGTCTGACGCAGGGAGGGTGAGGGAGTTTCCTCCTGTCACCCCTTGGGGGCCCCCAGCCTGCAGCCACCCACACCAGGGCCACTCTGGGCCTTGGGTGTCCACCGGAATCCTGGCCTTGCCCTGCACTGTCAGCTTTGGGGACTCCTTCCTGGACTTCCTCTGGGGACTGAGGCTGCGCCTTGCAGAGACTGTCAGGCCTGGCAGCATTGGGTGGGGGCCCCTGGGTGGAATCCAGGCAGCGGCAGGTGTCAGGACAGTTAGGAATGGGCCCCTGGAAGGAGAGGGAGACAAGGAAGTCAGAGGCCAGGGTGGGAGGCCCAGGGAGGGTCCTTGGGGAGGCAGGGGGAGGCCTGAACAACTCAGCCTCAGGCCTCGGAGGACTTTGGTTCCCTCCTAGGGTCATGGTGAGGGGTGGATGTGGTCAGTCCTGGGTTCTCAGACGACTGCCTGGCCGTGGGGCACAGAAAGGCACCATCGTGGGGGGATTCCGGGGGGACAGAGGGGAACTTCCCTTGGACATAAGGCCAGTGGACACCAGGGCCTCCGTGGGGCAGGGGTGGGGACATCACAGGGTCGTCAGTGGCACAGCAGGGGCCAGACCTCCTGGTCCCATCCGGTTCTCAACCCTTGGGGGGTCTCTGCTGTGCTGACCGTGCCTCAGAGCCCTGAGCAATGCACCCGAGCGACAGGACCTGACCGGAAGAGAATTGGCGGAGTTACGATTTTGAGACATGGGAGATGGGGTGGGGCTGAGGCTGGGAGGGGGCTCTAGGCCAAGCTGGGTCTATTCGCCCCCAAGCATTCAGCCGTGGAGACCCCGTGGGCCATGGACGCACAAGAGGTGTGGGAGCCGACATCTTGTGAGGCCCGGACTCTGGAGGGAGATGGTGTGGTGAGGGGATGGGACCTGAGCAGCAGCAGTGGCAGCCCCCGGGGGATCCAGGGCAGTGGGGCTGGGTGCGGGTGGGCAGGCAGGTGGGACAGGCTCTGGAAGTGAAGTTGAGGAGTTTGCGGGGGGAGGCCGAGGCTGCCCCACATTTTGCTTGCTCTGGCTGGAAGGGCAGGCAGGAGCAAGATGGGGGTCTGGAGTCAGCAATGCCTTGCGCAGCCGCAGGAGGGTCGGGTAGACATGGGGGCGAAGAGTCAGGAGCGCAGCCCCCTCCCTCTCTGACCCACGCTGTCTCACTTTGAGAGGGTGGGAATGTACTTTTCCACCGGAGCTTCAGCCTTGGGATCGCAGCACCTCCTCCGTAACTGGAGGATGCTCAAGACCCAGATCCCTGGGTGCCAGGTTCCCTGCCCCCGGCCCCAAACCCGAGGCACCGAGGTGCTTCCTTGCTGTCTGGGGTGGGGCACAGGAGGGCACCCCGCTGTCTTACCCAGGGTGTCCCAGCCAGCCTCTGCCATTGGGGGTGTGGTGCTGCCTAGACCACCTACCTGCCCAAGCTGTGGATTTCTCCAAGGTGCAGCTGTCCGCCAGGCACTGGGTGTCTTCCCAGGCTGTGAGGGTGGCTGTTGACTCATATTCATCTCCTGGGGTGGACAGTTTTATTGCATGGGCTCTGGCCCTGGAGGCAGGAATCCCTCACACAGCGACTACTCGCCTCTGGGCCAGCTGCCCACTCCAGCTGAACTACCCTTAGATTCTCCTTGAAGGAGCATAGGAGAGGAGGGTCTGGGGGCAAGGATGGCCTGGAAGGCCAGGTTGGGCAGCAAAGCCCCTAGGGGACCCAGTCCTCCCAGGAGAGGACCAGTCAGTGGGCCCCGTGGGCCCCAGTCCTGGCAGGAGGGATGCACTCCATGGGTTTGGAGTCAGGAGCCGTCATGGGAGGCCTGGAACCAAGGACTTTCCCAAGAGTCTCCGCAGGGGAGGGTCTGGGAGTGAAGGGGTGAAGTCTCATTTTCCATA